CCTTCCAATGATTGCTGAGCCAGAATCCATCTTCTCGGTTGAAATTGTCTCTGTGTTTGTATATGTGGATCGCCTCATGAACGGATCTCTCATGGTAGCCAGATGGCTTGCAGATAACCTCTGTCTTGGAGAAGTCAATGTCATGTGAGCCCACTGAATTGTAACAATAATCTGCCACGGCTGAGGTGTTTGTCCTACCGTCTTTCAGGTCTGCTTTATGTTCACGGATGCGGTCCGAGACATGTCGTTTGGTTTCTCCAATGTAACTGCTACCACAAAGGCAACTTAGTTTGTAGACGCCAGGGTACTGTATGTCTGGAACCACGTCTTTTACAGACGAGACCAGATCACGGATTTTATGTACTGTGTTGAATCGGACCTGAATCTTGTGTTTAATCAGGATTTTGGAGATCTTTTTTGTAACCCCAGCAATGTAGGGTAAGGTGATGGTTTTGAAAGGCTCCTCAACAGGATCTTTCTTGATGGTTGGAGTGACTGCTTTTCGGATTGTGTAGTCGGAATAACCATTAGCCTTAAGAGCTTGGCGTACGTGTTTGAGTTCACTGGCAATGTGTTCCTGGTCGGAAATGCATTGGGCTCTATGGTATAGAGTCTTGATGAGGGAGTTCTTCTGGGATGGATGGTGGTGGGAATCCGGTTTTAGGTAGGCATCCGTATGGGTGGCTTACCTGTAGACAGAATGGCTCATTGAACCATCAGGTCTCCTTTTAATTAGGACATCCAAAAAGGGTAGCTTGCCATCTTTTTCGACTTCCATGGTGAATCTGATGGCTGGGTGTATGGAATTGATGTGGTCAAGAAATTGGTCTAGAGCAGGCCGGCCATGTGGCCAGATGACAAAAGTGTCATCTACGTACCTCTTCCATAAGGTCGGGTGTAGAGTGGCAGTCTGGATGGCGTCAGTCTCAAATTTATCCATGAAAATGTTGGCCACAACCGGAGAAAAAAAAGGGGAAACCCTATTCTTATATTTTGGTACTGGCAAAGGAGGTCCCATGATGTAGAAGCTCGACCCGAGCTCTCATTACTCTGATAGTGCATTGTCTTTGAGCTGTACGCCTTTTGGAGTCCTCTGGTCTAACACCGTTTGAGACGAGGCTCAAAAGAAAGCTGTCTCTGGTGTGGACCAATCAGTTTAAAAGACAATGCATATATTATAAAAGTGTTTTTTTTTGCATTCTGACCAAAAGTGTTGTGGTGAATGCAGACATGATTCCTTGTAAAAAGAGTCCCATCATGTCATGATTTTAATGTGCAAACTCTGCATGTACAGCCTTTCCACACAGTAGTGTTACGCCCTATTTGAAGGCGGGGAGAAGCGTGCAAATTCGGCTCAATGATCGCGGCTGGGAAATGTTCACCTCCGCGAAGTCTTGACACGTTGACAGATGCGTCATTCATACCGGCGTTATAAATAGGACACGGTTTTCAAAGAACGAGAAGGTTCAAACAATGTCTCTGTTCTTCTACACTCGGTGCCCTTTAACCCACCACGCCACGCATTGCGGGTCTCCTGCGTGTCAACGCGTGGAATGAAGATGGAGCAGTTTTGGCCCACGCACCCGCTTAAGGAAGTCGTGCTATGCTACATATTGCGTCTTTGCTCACTCAAAAGGTGGTACATTGTGCGGAAACAAACCGCGGGCGACTTTGTTATCTATCACTGCGGCTGTGATGGGACGCACTGTGACATTTTTAAGATGAAACGGATCAGTCGGATTGGTTCCGAAATGGTAGAATTTGTTTTAGAATAGCATGGGCTACATGGTACTGGACCTTATTATTGTAAAGCAACGATACGAACTCGTCATTGAGCTGACCAAGATCAACACAGCACCGTGGCCAAGAGCCGCTGATGCCACGCCACCTCCACAGCGCGTTCGACCCTCCAACAGATTCCGCATCTGCTGCACAGTGGACACGTGGCCTCAAAACGTCTTTAGAAGATGATACTTCTATAAAAGATCGACCTTAGGGGCCGTCCATAAATAACGTCACGCACCTGGGGGGGGGGGGGTTAGAAATTTTTGACGATGTGTGACGAGGGGGGGGGGGGTTTGAGAAATGTGACGTCACATCAAAATGCGCAACTTTAAATAAATATAGACAACACGTTCTACTTAATTAAATAGACTTTTTAATAAATGTTTTCTCCTACAACATCAGAGTGCAGCGCCACATTAGATACGCACTACAATAACAATAGTTTAAAGCGATTGGAAGCAAAGCATGTTTTTGGGGGGGGGGCAGAGCTTTGTGACGTCATATTTGAGGGGGGGGGTCTGACTTTTTGTGACGCCGTGTGACGAAGGGGGGCGTCAAAATCGTCCAAAATCGCGTGACGTCATTTATGGACGGCCCCTTTTCCGTTATTGGCCACATAAATAAAACTGGAACCGCTAAAGCTGTGGCCCACCTCACGTCGCACCGACAAGGGCAATATGTGGAAATGTCTCTCTTCAGACCAATAGTCCGGCATCAGTGCTGACGATAAAAGTGTCTGCCAAGGGTAGCGACCCGTCCAAGGAGACGTCCACCACATGTGTGTGTTGAACTTCTTTCGCACCGTGCATGGCCAACTGCGCTAATCGGAGGTGTGAGGAAAGTCAACACACTATGGGTCTGTGAGAATAGAGGTATCGGCATGAGTCTGTGTATGTGTGTTGAACTTCTTTCACACCATACGTAGCCAACCACGCTAATCAGAGGCACAAAGAAATGACAATAAACTATGGGTCTCTGTGTGAGTATGTGGGTCTCTGTGTGAGTCTGTGGGTCTCTGTGTGAGTCTATGGGTCTCTGTGTGAGTCTATGGGTCTCTGTGCGAGTGTATAGGTTTCTGTGTGAGTCTATGGGTCTCGGTGTGAGTCTATGAGTCTCTCTGTGAGTCTATGGGTCTGTGTGTGTCTATAGGTCTCTGTGTGAGTCTATGGGTCTCTGTGTGTCTATAGGTCTCTGTGTGAGTCTATGGGTCTCTGTGTGAGTCTATGGGTATATGTGGGAGCCTATGGGTCTCTGTGTGAGTCTATGGGTCTCTGTGGGAGTCTATGGGTCTCTGTGGGGAACCCATGGGGGTACCTTCATTTTGTTTATAGAAAGTACCATTCCAAGTGAAGTAAGTGTTAGTAAGGCAGTGCCTAACCAAAGTAGGAACATCAGGGTTCAGTCCATGCTGGACTAAATTTTCAATTATTGCTAAGGTGTCAGGCACTGGAACCTTGGTGAACAGAGAAACTACATCAAAGCTGCCGTGAAGATCATCCGGGGTCAGTGAAATGCCCTTGATTAGAGAGACTAGGTGAGCTGAATTAAGTACTGCTGATTTCTTGTCTCGTTGTCTGTTAAAAGCTCTAACAGAAATGTGGAAGCCCTCCCCGTAGAGGCGGTTCATTCTAGATTTGAAGTTTTCGTGACTGCAAGGATCCATACTATTTGGTTCTTTCGGTAAAGACAAAGCAGGGGATACCAAAAAGATTGCCAAAATCTTAAACAAACACTAGATCCAGGTCCGATTCCGTACAGTACATAAAATACGTGATCTAATACCATCTGTGAAGGATGTCATTCCTGACTTGCAATACCCTGGTGTCTACAAACGAAGTTGCATCTGTGGTGATTGTTACATTGGGGAAACGAAACGTCATATATCTGACAGTATCCGCGAGCACAAGTCAGATATTTTTACCTACGTTACCTTACAGAAAAAAACCAAAGAGTATGGATCCTTGCAGTCACGGAAACTTCAAATCTAGAATATTTATGGTAATGTATGTATGTTGGACTTATTTCGCACCGTAGGTAGCCAACTGTATGATGTGTAAACGTCGCCACTGGGGAGACAAAGGCGGTCGGGCGTGGTGCTGGCCACCGACGCTCTCGTGTGCTGTGCCGTCCTTCATAGGTGCTCGCTAACAGCACTTGCCCCAAAAGTCTCTTGAGGCTATACGGGGATCTTTTGTGTTTGTGTGCACAAGTATGTGCTTCTCATGAAAGTCAGGAGCTAGTTATAATGAAACGATACAATCCTATATTTATGGGATGGTAATGAGTGTTGCTGTGGTCAAAGTGCCCGACTGTAAGAACTTGTGATTTCAAATCTGGATAATCATCTCTCTGAGGTCCATAAAATAAGTAACACCAATCTTGATTTGAAGCGTTCGTGACTGCAGGAATCCATACTCTTTGGTTCTTTCGGTAAAGTCACGTAAGTATAAAATAAAATAAATCACGACGTTCCGATCGCAACACAAGCGATCGTCCTCAGGCGGAAAAAATATCATCCAGCAGTGGAACTGCTGAACCAGTGAGAGAGCTGTTTCAACAAGGCGATATATGTGGCGATGGGCAAGCAGGCGGGGTCTGAGCTGGAAAGGAATTCCACCCACGGACGTAAGCACCAATTTATTGAAAGCTAACATTTCTAGGCCCTTTGGGTTACTGACCCTGTCATTATAAAGTAATGAGAAACATCAAAGCGACATTCAGACGCAGTTTGTTACGTAAATGGAGTGCCTTGCATTTGTTCAAATATATAATGGAGGTGCTTGTGAGAGTCACTTTGAAGTCGAATTTACTCCACTTCGAAATCACATCAGACTTCCCCAGTCACGTAACGTGAATACGACCGAGTAATCCTGCGTGTGCCCTACAGCTGACCCATCCCACCTGCGTCTCTCCCAAAAGGATTCACCATTCCAGGTGTCCTCAGAGTGCCTGATACAAGGGGACGACAAACAGTGATCCATACGAGGCTGTTCTTCTATATGTATATACATGTGCCGTGTGTCTTCTAGTAGCTGGCAATGAAAGATAATAACATCAATAATTTGGTGATTAGCCGAGAAGCTAACTTCAGACTGTGCGAGGGTGGGGTAAGGTGAGGATAGCCTTGGAGGCAGGGCCACAGTGCACTTTGTGGGAGTGGAGTTGAAGAGGATGCGATTTTTGACTGTCCCCATTATAAAGGCGATGATGCACTGGTGAACATTTCGTGCAGGCGTTGACAGCAGCCGCAGTGCGTGACTCAGGCATTATTTGTTTCATCGACCCCGTGCTGTTCAGGGCACCTGTTTGTTTTTAAAGTCACTGGGACTGAGGGCCTGGGAAAGCGTGCGCAGTGCGTTGCACCTGAGGCAACGTGCACCGGATGGACGAGTGAGTTAGACGACGTGCAAAGGTGAGTGCAGGTGCCTCCAGACCGGTGTGTGTGTGTGTCTCTATACAGGTGTGTGTGTGTCTCTATACAGGTGTGTGTGTGTGTCTCTATACAGGTGTGTGTGTGTCTCTCTATACAGGTGTGTGTGTCTCTATACAGGTGTGTGTGTCTCCAGACAGGTGTGTGTGTGTCTCTATACAGGTGTGTGTCTCCAGACAGGTGTGTGTGTGTCTCTCTATACAGGTGTGTGTGTGTCTCTATACAGGTGTGTGTCTCCAGACAGGTGTGTGTGTCTCTACACAGGTGAGTGTGTGTGTGCCTCCAGACAGGTGTGTGTGTGTGTGTGTCTCTATACAGGTGTGTGTGTGTCTTGTTGTATATGTTGGGTATGAAAATTTGTTATGTTGTATGCGTGCGTGGGTGAAATTATTATGTTGTATGTGTGGGTTATGAATATTCAGTGGAAATAATAATAATTAATGAAATTTGGCCAAATGTGTAATTATCCGGAAATATGTTAATTATGTAATTACGCACATTTTAATTATGCCAATTCGAGAGGTAATCGTATTAATTATGCGAGTGGGTGTAATTATGATAACGCAAGTCGTTATGATAACCAGACCCCGGTTCACCCCGTTATCGCTTTAACATTTACTGAGTATGTATTAGTGTGTTTATTAAGGTCACCAAGTTCAAATCTCAACGCAGAAGCAGATCTTATGCATAGATTTCAGGAAAGAATCACACAACCACTTCTGTATTGATCAATTTATTACTAATTCAACCTTAACTATGATATAGTATGCGAACTCTCAATCCCGGAACGTCAATACGGCATCAATACAGTATCATCAACGATTGTCTGATTTCACTTTGACAACTGCACATGGATCCCGCATAACGCGATGGTTGTTAGTGAGAGAGAGAGTCGTTAAAACATGCAAATACTATGCTAAGAAAACCTTAACGTTAATGAATGATTATACTCAATATTGTTCACGCAGTACCGCACTCCTTATTGATCATACGCAACCCTTATCACGTTGTTAACACCTTGGGTCACGGGACAGTTGAATATTCTGTAGAGGATGCGAGTACGTGCGGCGATTATGACTGAAAGATACTTGAAAGATTATACGGCGAAAAAAAAAAAAACACAATCAAAACAGTTACTATTCTTAAAGGCACCAATCTCAACAGATACATCGGCAGGTTATCTGACAGCAGAACGGCTCGGAGTAAGGGCCTGCGACGGTGCTCCTTTTCCGAAGATCGTTATCTTATACCAAGTTTACTAATTGGGGACCAGATCACCTGATAAGGATCCGGTGGCCACCACTCCCCACGTGAGCGTGGCTCGGCGGAAGGAGGTGCCAAGAATCAGTTCGTATTGATGGATCTGTTGGGAATTTATGCGATTAAGAGTACAGCCCACTAAATATTAAAGATAAAAATTAAGAATACTCTTATACGACGGAGGCCACCACTCGGTCTCGTTGTGATGCCTTCCCAGCCACGGATGACTTATGGGTTCGAGTGTGTTTGAGTGGTAAGAGTTGTCTTGAATAGTCAGTGTTCGGAGTCGATTCTTTATGTCAAACAGACGCCTGGTGGTCGTGTGGTGAGGGGGCGGTGCGCGTCATACGTATCAGGCGCTCTCCTGTCACCGTGGTGAATTGGCTCGGATGGCTGTTGATACGCTGTCGCAGTTCGGAACCCGGTCGGTAGGTGGCGCCCACAACTCGCTCGTAGCGTGCAGCGCTGGATCGTCGCCAAGTCGCGACGCTCACCACCGGCGGCAGCGGAGATCTCCGGCGGCAGCAGAGATTGACGAGCTGAAGATGAGTCGAGCCGACCCGCTGGTCGCAGCTCGCTCCTGAGTCGACCCTCCCGGTCGAGCTCGCTCCTGGGTCGACCCGCTGGTCGCCCTCGCTCCTGAGTCGACTCTCTGGTCGCACTCCTGAGTGGACCCGCTCTGGTCGCACTCGTTCCTGAGTCGACCCTCCCGGTCGAGCTTCTGAGTGGACCCTCCCGTCGCACTGGTTTCCAATGTTCAGGATCCGTTCCTTTATGCTGAAAAATCCCCCTGGATCCCGCCCACAAGGCGGGGCTTCCGATTTTTGCTGTGTCAGGATCTGTCCGTAGGCAGGTGTGTCCATGTGTGTGTCCGTATGTCCTTGTGTGCATCACTGACGGTATATTCCGTTGTCAACTCCCTCCATAAAACCCACGAGCAAACAACCAGATGTTACAAATTGTCTCGAAGTCGTCTCTCTGTCTGGGTGCAATTTATCTCTTGTCTGGCCTTCTTCATGAACCCAAAACACAGACGTTACAAATCGTCTCATAGGCGTCTTTGTTCGTGTTGCACAACCTGGAGGGGGGGCAACACTCTCTCCGACCCGGCGCACAAAGAAATGGTTAAAAGTTTTAAGTTAACATTTGTCCCTTACTATTTCACAGTTATGATTCTGTATGTAACCGAAGGTCTGTCGTTTCCCATCGTGGTTCCCGACCCAAGTGTAGGTGTTTCCCCGAGCGTACACACACTCCTATCCCGCGCTGCGGGGATACAAAGACGGCCGGGATCTCCCTTTCTCTCCGACCCTGGGTTTAACATTGTTTTTTTTTTTTATTATGTATTTATATTCGACCTGGTGGTGATTCATCCCGTTATCCTGGCTTTTCCATAAGTTTAACTTTTGTCTTTCATGCATATACTTATTACTATTAATTTATTTCCGATATCTTAGGTTAAGGGGTAAGTTTCTTGATCCTAGGAATTCGTATTCCTTGGTGCCTGGATGGTTATATAAGCGGAATATAGTTTACGGTGAATAGCGTTAACATTGATGTTATGTGCGATATTATGTATTGTGATGTCTTTAACTTAACTTGTTTGTCAGGGCTTTACTGACACGAAGTTGCATTCCATGGTCCGCAGTCTTTGCCCCACCCTATCTCTGCTCGCCGTTGTTGTTGCCTGCCGTTAATTCAAGGCCTCATTAATTTCCGTCACTCCTGAGTAGGTGAGGGCGGTTGAACCTTGGAGTCAGTTCTGGTTTTTGTCTGCCTGCTTCTTCTTGTGTCCCCTGACCCCGGGAGTTATTATTCTACTTTATGGCCTGTCGAAGCCCCACTCGCTGTTGCTGGGCTGGTGTTGTTCCCGGCTTTTTGCTTACGTTTGCAGTTCGCCGTGCTCTTGATTTCCTTCCCTCTTCAACCTTATATTGACTATTCGCTCCTGTCTGGGTGCGATTCAATTTTGACTTAGGAAGGTTCTGATTGTCATATGCTTCGGGTCGAATTGTATAGAAAGTATTGAAGTATGGAAATAACATTTCATATTGACTTAATAATGGTGATGGTTCAGTAGGCGTAACTTGTGGCCTGGTTTAATTGGAGTGGGTGTGAATATCGATAACTTTAGCCTACCCTGTTGTTAAATTCCGACTTTAACGTTACTTTAATAGCAATACAGAATAATTGAGCTTTTTGTCTTAACTAGGCGAATGCGAACTTCTGGTGACCCCCGCAGCCGTGTTGTTCAGCTGGGTCTTGTGCCTTGAGAGATATACAACCCTCTTTTAAATCACCTCTCCCCCTGTGCAACCTTCTGCTCTGGGAGTGTTTATTCTTGATTCCAGGTCCAAGGCCCCCTCACATCCAGACGCGCAGGGTTGTTTACATCAGCTCCCCCCCTGTGCACGTGTTCTAACTAGCTCGGAATTCCTGAACACACAATCAGTGATGATTCCTGGCTTTCTGTGGTTGTGATTTAGACAAAGGCGCCTCTGTTTCTTCCATTGCCTTTGAGTCGACACTGCCCTATTATTTGCCCATGTGCTGAGGTCATAGAATTCGTTTTGACTTCAGTAATATTAACATTCAGTATTGGATTAGCAAATGGGCAATGGTTCATTGATGTAGCTCGCAGCCTGGTCTCCAATTTGAGCGAGCGCGAGGATCGATAATTTAGCCTACTCTGTTGTTGAATTTCGAATTTTGACGTTACTTTAAAACCATGCAGGATGATTGGGCTTTTGCCTTAACTATGTCTGGCTGACACTCCCACTGTCTCTGCCGCCTGCACGGGTGACATGTGCCCGTTCATCAGGCCTTATCTTTCCTTGAAGCAAGGTTGCAAATTCTGCCATCCTAGCCCTCCTCCAGTTCATTACTTAACAACACCTGGTGTTTTGCAGTTTGCTGCGCTTGGTGTGTTTCACTCATTAAAAAAAACAAGTAAAAAGATAATATATAAAAATCATCAAATATTATTAATCTCAATTATGGAAGAAGGGTTAGTATACAACATTCCGCCCTTTTAAAAATGACCAGTGGTCAAATGGCCACGGGTTATTTTTAAAAAAAATGTATACCCTTCTTCCATCATGAACCATCGATTGTCCTCAAGTTTTGCTGCTATTCCTTACAACGCGCGCGTACGTGTCACAACTTAACATGGTTATTTTGAATTGAGCAAAGAAAATTAAACAAGCGTTAAACATCGATATTGCGTTACATCGGTTCTGATACATCATGACTCCGACGAATATTCATTTTTGTTTTTGTTAAATCCTGGGAAACGCTAGGTAGCGGTTTCGAACGCATTTATGCGTTACTTTCCTCATGTTGCCTCGTTCACCACTTATCACTTCGATAATTCGATCACGGTTTTCGGGGTTCGTTTTTGTAGTTTCTTCTCTCACTCTCTGTGTCGTGGGAGTGTGTGGTGAAAAATTGTGCTGCACATAACCAGAATTCGCGCACCCGACCCACTTTGACCCTTGGTTCGAGGCATTCGCTCTCTCTGCGATTACATGCACATTTGCCGAGTCCGTGTGTCGATTTAATTCTGTCCCTCGTAATGTTGCCCTCTTTGTTTTTACTAGTGTGTTGGATTTCAACACCATTCCCGATACGTCATGGACATTCGTCTCCATTTTAGCACTCCGATCCACATAATTTTTGGTTTCCCTTGGATATTTTCCATTCAAAGGCTCATGCCTGCGCTC